TTTAGGCTTCAGGGATTTAGGGTTTAAGGCTTCAGGGATTTAGGGTTTAGGCTTTAGAGGTTGAGGGTTTAGGCTTCAGGGATTTAGGGTTTAGGCTTTAGAGGTTGAGGGTTTAGGCTTCAGGAGGTTTAGGGTTTAGGCTTTAGGGGTGCGGGTATAGGGTTGAGTGTGTAGACTGATGTGCGCAGAGATCGAAGTCAATAAGTAGGTGGCACCTGGAATCCTAACGAACCTCATCGGGTCCCTAAGCCCCTAAACCCTTAAATGCCTAAACCCCTAAAACCTAAATCCTTAAATCCCTGAAGCCTACAACCCTAAACCCATACAGCCACGTAGGCTTCAATATTGGGGTATATACTCCGCTGAACTCCTTCTAGCATCATACCCCAAGGGTCCAAGTGCCTACAAACCGATCCAGTCTCCCAAAATCCAACCTGCAACACTAATTCAGGGGCCTTAATAATTAGATTAGGGTTTTGGGTATATTATGATATAATTATATTGTAATAAGGAACCCCAAATAGTATAAGTACTTATTGAGGCGCCTACACTACGATCCTGAACCCAAGTAAATGTTTTGGAAATGTCAGGGGTTTGCCCCCTCAGACGAGCCTTCAAATCCGACCCAGTTCTTCCAGTATCCCTGGATTAAGGAATACGTGTATCCCCAAAAACTACAAAAGAGTCGGGTTATGACCTCTTAATTAGAGGGCATATCCCTGAAACCAGTAGGGTTGTTGGATGACCAGGTATGCCTCAAGTTAGAGCAGGAACCCAAATCTGATTTAACGAGTGTGGTCCTTAATGCCAAGTTGCGGTGTATGATGGAACATTCGGGGTTTAGGGTTTAGGGGTTTAGGGTTTAGAGTTGAACATCTGGCTGGGAAGCCCTAAACCCGAAACCCTAAATCCCAACACCCTAAACCTTACAGAACCGGGGTTCTGATCTCGAAGGGCCTTAAAGGGAACCCTATAATAGAACATCAGCGTACCCTTAAAGGGAACCCCAATATGGATACCCCACAGTACCCTTGAAGGAACCCTACTATCGTACCCTTTCAAAGCCCTGTCACGGCAACGGTTTAATGAAGCCATGAAGGAGCCCTTTAACAAATAGGTAGGGTTTAGGGGTTTAGGGTTTAGGGTTTAGGGTCTGCTAGGGTTCAAGTAGCAGCAACCATAGACACTAGTGTATTCCTAAAGCCGATAAACCCTAACCCTAAGCCCTTCATGGCGTGGGATTTAGTAGTTAGTAGAAACCCTGCCCGGCCGCAGCCGACGTCAAGCGCATCCGCCCCGACAACGCGGGAGATGTCCAAGGTGACCTCACTTGAAGGCTTGGGGCTAGCTAGCAGGACTTTATAGAGGGCGATTAAGAGGGTTTTATAATTTTGTTGAGACAGACTTTTGCCGCTCAATTACCTGAACAGTGGGTGTCCGAGTGGGTCTTCCTTGAGCCCGCAGGCCTTATCCAGGACCTTTATGTAGGGTAGCTGAGTTCTGATTGGGTCCCCTGAGTTTTCCGGTCAATCCCAAACACCTAAACCCTATAAGCCCTCAGGCCTTAAAACCCTCGAGCCCTAAACACCAAACCCGAAACCCCAAACTCTAAGCCCAGAACAGTGCCATCCTTTTCTCCGGAGGTATCGGGCGACCGCGAGCTTGGCTCCGCGCAAGAGTTCGAAACAGTTCCTCGGTCTCGCTTTCAACGGATAGCAAGAAAGGCCAGCTTCTTGATAAGGGTTTAGGGTTTAGGGCGTCTACTTTGCTTACCAGAAAAAAAGAGAGCCACATTTTTTCACCAGAGATCCCTATTGTGGTAACTTGCACCAAGTTCTTAACAAGAAACCAGAAAAGGATAGGGGTTGGGGATTCGAATCCAGGGTTTCGGATAGGGGTCAAGGGCTGCCAAGACAAGGAAGTATGGCAGCAGAATAGCAGAAAGGTCTTCCCATACCGATACCTAGACCATATCAAGATCTACCGAACCCGAAGCTGTATTTCCCAATTGCTATATCCCTAAATCCTGAGCCCTAAAATTCCCCAAACCCTATATACTCAGACCAAGGCCCGTAGAGAACCTAAGCCGAAGCCACAAATCCAAACCCAAAACTCTTAAAACTCTAAAGACTGCCCCAAAGGGGTCCTAAGTATTATATAATGGAATGCAGGGTTTCCAGAACAGTACCTGGGACTTTTTGACCGTCCTAGATTCCGAGGCCATCCGCCACCTGCCAGCTTGCCGACAGCTGCTGATCGTGGCAACGTAGCCTGAGAGGGTTTGAGGGTTAAGGGTCTAGTGTGAAGGGTTTAGAGTTTAGAGGCTTCTCTTCCGAGCTTTCAAGCGCAAGGCCTTCTGGGGTTTATGTGTAGTCTATAGGATCCGACTTTTTAAAGCTTTCCTCATGAGGGCTGAGGGGCCCAGAACGGCCCATGTGAGTTCTTGTTGCGTAAAAGCCTTTCGGGTGTGCTAGGGAAATTCACCATGGCTTATAACTTCAAGGGCACCATGGACCATGACAAGGTCGTAAGGAAGAGTTTCTATGCAACTGCAGCATAGTAAATCTCATGGTACCCCTAAGGTCCAAAACCCTAAACCCCAAACCCTAAACCCTGAACCCCTCAACGAAACCGTGTAGTGTATGCTTTGGCCTTCCAGGGCTTCACTATATATAGATGTACTTACCCAACCTGGTTTAGGGTTTAGGGTTTAGGACCAGCAGAGCTTCGGGTTTGGAGGCAATGGGACGTTGAAGCAAGCCCTTGCCGGTTTACGGCTTATGGGCCTATGGGGTTTAGAGTCTTTTAGAGGGCTTGGGATTACAACTTGGGGTCCTGTGGTACTCTTTTTACAACTTTTACAGAGGGACTATAGAGAAGGGATACGTTTGCTACTTGTTTCCCACCCTTGTAACCTGGAAGTTGTTGTGCGGACCCTAAAACCCTAAACCCCTGAATCCCTAAACCCTGAACCCTAAACCACCAAACCCCTAAACCTAGATCCTCGAAGCGACAAGCTACATGCTTAGGTTTAGGGTTTAGGGTTAGTAGAAAGCCGTCCGCTCGCCCTGCATGGGTAGCGCGCTAAGTCAGGGTCCCTTTGGGGGGTCCTTTTCATAAGGGTGCCGTAGTATTTTGGGGACGCCAACAGGGACCCTCATTTAGAGAACTACCCACATGACCAGGATGTGTGTGTGTGTATATATATATATATGTGTGTGTGTGTGTACATGCATATATATATATATACATATTACGTAGCTACAGTGTGGTAACCCACTATGTATTGGCAACTGGACTGCGGAGAAAGGTGTTATGAGATTAGAGTTAAGGCGAATAAATAGAGCATGTGGCTTATAGGATTTACGGTCACTTGGGTTTTGGCCTGATGAGGTTTAGGACTTCCGGGATTCGGGAAGCTGCTCAAACTTTGGGGTGTGCGTGTGTAGCGTTCAGGATGTTGTGTTGGGCTTAGGGTATATGGTCATCTTAAACCCCCAATCCCCCTGTGACTCCCGCCCAAAACCCCCAAACCTGAATACTCTCCGGCGACGAGCCGCTCATCGTGCTAGGCGTCAGCTTCGCCCGTGGCATGGTGTCCAAGAGGTGCCTTGCAAAGGCACCGTCCCCCCCGTTACAAAAGCCAACAACTACCCCTAAACCCTAAACCCTAAACCCTAACCCTTTCTTTAGGACCTGTATGGGGTTGAAGGTGTGGGTTTGGAATTTAGGGGCTGAGGGTTTAGGGTTTAGAGCCTGGCAGTAAAGAGGGTTCCTTAATCAGGAAACCTTACACCCCAAACTGTCCTAAACCCTGAGCTAAAACCTAAACCCTCAACCCTATAGACCCTAAATTTACACTATAAGTTTGGCGGCTCAGAGTTGAGGGTTCAGGTGTTGGCGTTTACTGTTTGGCCCGAAGAGTGAAATTGGTAAGTTCCGGATTGGGGGACTGCACAGCTTTGGTGCAGAGAAATCTAGCAACGACAGTGGGAGGGAACGATTTATGCATGCTCTTAGTGTACTTGCACGGTAGCTGCATAACGAGACCATACGAATAGAACCTGGGGCTTATCGTGGACACAACGACATCAACTGAAGGACGTTGCCTTCGAATCCTACATCCCAACACCCTATAATCCCTAAACCCATAGCTAACCATACAAATTTGTAAACCCTAAATTCTAGACCCTAAACCCCTAAACCCCGAATCCCTAAACCCATAACTAACCCTACAGCCCCGTAAGCCCTAAACACCTAAACCCCTAAACCCCTAAACTCTAGACCCTAAACCCCTAAACCCATAAATTCTAAACCCTAAGCTAACCCTACAAACCCGTATATCCCGGGCTTAGAATCTGGTGGATTCATCTTTTGACGTCCCGAGACTGACCAGTGAGTTGAGGTTAGAGTAGAAGCCAAAAAGTTGGAAACCCAATAGCCTCAATCCTTAAGAGTAATTTAAAGGGACTCCCAGCACTATTTTTCTTTTATCAGGCTTCCAACTTTTTAGGTGTACTTTAGGATTTATGGAAGCCTGTATACTCACTACCCAGACCATCCACTACCCCATAGTTAAGGAGCATACTGTAAAATATGACAGGGTCCTTAATATCGTTTTAGGTATATGGCCTAGTTCCGGGATTTTGGAGGATCCGGGTAGTGCTACTCCTGTAGTATAGATTACACCACAACAGTTTTCTGATTGCGCAGTCCCCGATATTCCAGACCCCTCATAGTAAGGAATACATTTCGCAATACAATAGGATCCCGAATATACCTCAAGGTGTCTGATGGTTTATGGCTTAATTCAGGGACCTTGGAAGATCTGGGTACTGCTACGGCTTAGGGTTCCCTCTAGTATAGTCTACCCCATAACACTATTGTGGTTGTTAAGTCTCCTATAGTTTAGAGCCTTCATAGTATCCCTCATAGATTTCTTCAAGGAGCCCTTGCAGTAGCCCCGTTTGAACTATCAAGGCCCCTAAATTAGCCCCTACACCTTTACCCACCTTTACCCTATATACAACCCCTATGCTGTGACCCCAGATCCTCAAAGAAGCTAACCCTGAACCCTGAACTTCAATAAACCCCAAAGCCCTCAACCCCGCAACCCTAAATCCTCAAAGAAGCTAACTTCTGGGAAGTTCTCTACATTAGGGTCCCCTTTTCGCATCCTTTTGATAAGGGTGCCGTACTATATGGGGGACCTAGAAAAGACCCTATTTGTTCAGAGCTACCCATCTGGAGCAAAGAGGCAAAGCTGGCAGCCACTGGGCGCCCTTCTCGCAGGCGGCAATCCTCACCACCCAGATCCCTAATCCTAAGTTCGAAACCCCGACCCCTGAACCCGAAACTGAACCCTAAACCCTAAACCCCAAGCCCTAGACCCTGAAGCCTAAACCCTTAACTAAGGAATATACCACAAGTTCGGGTTCCTTTCAGGGCTCTTTCAAGCGTTGAACGACGGATTTACAGGGTTCAGGGTTTAGGGTTGAGGGTTGAGGGTTTGCCCCTATACTAAGGCAAAGTTCCTGTATCCTGGTGGGATCCCTACTACCATGTAAGGAGTATTCCTCTTGAAATACTGGCCTAAACCCTAAGCCCTTAACCCCATCAGCCCTAAGCGCTAAACCCCATCAGCCCTAAGCCCTAAGCCCCAAACCCCACAAACCCTAAACCACATAAGCCCTAAGCCCTAAACCCCCTGAGCCCTAAACCCTAAACCCCATAAACCCTAAACCACATAAGCACTCAAGAAGCCTACAGAGTACACAGTAGCCCTAGTCTCCATTGTAGTTCCTTTTTTTGGTTTAACCAGTTATATATTGAGGATTTTATAAGGTATCCCCAAAAAAGGAACTACAATGGAGACTGTAGGTAGCATGCTCTTAAGCAGCAACCTGATGAAGAAGCCCCCGGAGGGTAACCAGAGTTAGGATTAAAGGGAGGATTTAGGGGGTTTAGGGTTTGGGGTTTGGGATTTAGGGTTTAAGGTTTTCAGGTTTAGGTTTATAGGATTTAGGGTTTGGGGTTTGGGATTTAGGGTTAGGATTTAGGGTTCGGGGTTTAGGGTTTAGGAGTTCGCGGATTTTGGGGGGATATAGACCCCGTCAATAAGGTCCCTTCTTAAGAGAGCCAGAAGTAGGGTTCAGAAGGGTTCCCTTTTAGGGGGTTCTCCCTAACACTAACTAGGGGGTAGAGGGTTGGAGAAGATCTCGCAGCCAGACAACCCTAAACCAACAACCAGGGTTTAGGGTTTAGGGCTTATTGGAGCCACACAACCCTAAACCATCAACCAGTAACACCATCTGAAGCACGAGCGAGAAAGAACTCTGCAGCGACATAACCTGCTGAAAGCTGCAAAGCCTGATGCAGAACTCACAGCCGTGCAACCATGTAAAAAACCGTCTTCTAAAGCCTAAACCCTAAACCCTAAACCCTGAACCCTGAACCCTGAACCCTAAACCCTAAACCCTAAAAATCCCTTACAGGTAGTAGTCGAAGGCCAGGCTCGCCGCTTCAAAGTGGATCTCATTGGGAATCAGCAGCCTGAGATGCCAAGTTCATGTGCTCAATTTTAGGGTTTAGGGTTTAGGGTTTCAGCTCCATGGCGGGAAGAAATTACACCCCAAGAAATCTAAGCAATTTCAGTTCGGGGAAATTACTCCCCCCAAAAAAAAACGCAACCTTCAAGGCCTGGTGGGTGCACGATTAACCCCCAAAAGTGTACAGTATGCTCATTCAGCTTCCACGCCCCATCCCACACCCTCAACCATAATCCCTGAACCGTCAACTCCTTCAGCTACTAAGGAGCACTTCGGGCATCGCGAAGAGAAGGCGGAGGGCCCATTGCCATTGGTTTGCAACCGAGCTCATCACCTCGGATTCAGGCTTAAGGGCCCAGTTGAGGGTTTAGGGTCTCGGCTTTTAGGGGTTTAGGGTTTAGGGTCTAGGTTTTGCGCTTTTAGGGTTCAGGGTTGAGGGTCTAGCCTTTGCAGGTCCAGGATTTACGGTCTAGGCTTTGCGGGTTCAGGGTTTAGGGTCTAGGCTTTGCGAGTTGAGGCATCGTTCGACTGAGGATTTTATCGTTTCGCTGAAGATTTAAAGGTTGAGGGTTTCCAGGATTCACTTGAGGTTTAAATAAATGTAGGGGCCCTGACAACTAGAATAGGGTTTTCGGGGATCCTTACTATAACTAGTGTATCGTAGATCGCAAAAAACCCTATTAATTAAGGCCCCTAAAACCCTAAAGCCTAAACCCTTAAGTAGCCCTTATAGAACCCTTTAAGGAACCCTTTAAAGAAACCCTGTGAAACCCTATTCTAAGGCTCACCTCACCAGTCTCTAGCGGGAACGAGAGGCTAACCTTTGGAAATGTAGGTTTAGGGTTTAGGGTCTAGGGTTTTTGCTGTACCTTAAGAACCCAAAACCTACTTTTTTGTAGGGTCCCTATAAATCCCATATTAGGGTTTATAATAAGAACCTACAAAAAAGTGGAGTTTGGGTTCTTGAGGTAGGGGTCGACTTGGCAATTGAAGCTGAAGAGCGCCGCTTCCTGTGCCCTCTGCTGCAGAAAGGGTTCAACGTTGCCGGAACCCTCAACGTGATGGAGAGCGTTCGGGTATTTTGGTTCGAGACTGCTTGGCTCGAGGGACTTCCAGCCGAAGCTCTAAAACCTAAACCCCAAACCCCTAAGCCCAAAATACGAAGCTAACCCTACCAGCCCTCAAAACCCTAAACGATGAGGAAGCCCGGTCACCGTGCTGTAGCTCAGTGCGCTTGGGGACATAGAAGCCGCTGAAATGGAGTCGAAGATCTGCAGTGCCAGCTCCCAGTGGCGACCCCAACAGCTGGCTCTGACAGCTGCATCAAGGCATGTGACCTTAGACTATCACAGCTTACTTTTTGTAGGCTCTTTTGATCATACAACCCAACTGTGGAATTTACGAGGACCCAACAACAACTTGGTGTCGGCAGTTCAAGTAGCATCTGGCACAAGCTCCGCTTTGTGCAAGTCGGTGAAGAAATGCAGAGACAAGTCCCACTGACCCCCTCGCGTGCAGGAGTTCATGATGGAAGCGTATGTGATCACCTCGGAATGACTCAGGTCTTACACTCACATCAGTAGGCAGATGAACATTCTCTTGCCCGGGGCCCTCAAAGTACACTAGACCCGAAAAGCTGTAACACTCGAAGTGCATCCTTGTGACATCGTGCATCACATTCGAGACCCGTGCGAGGGCGAAAAGGTGCAAAGCGGTCTGCCAGCGCCCTTTAGGGTTTGGGGTTTAGAGTTTAGGGTTTAGTGCTATAACATGCTGCAATTTTCTATCATACAGTATTATATACTATCGTATACTAGAACACACACTTTGGTTTCTGGGTTCTAAGGCTTTGGGGTTTCGGGGTGGGTTTCGGGGCTACCGGGCCTTCCATCTCGCAGCTGTTGATGGCAGCATTGAAGCTAATGATATCGGGCGACAATCCTCGGTTCGGGTGTCGGGCTCAAGGGCTGGAAGCAAAGAGCGCTGGGGGAGGGTTTTAGGGTTTAGGGTGCAGGGTAGAGGGGTACATTGACTGGAAATGCACCTTGTAATCTAAACCCTAAACCCTAAACGCCAAACCCCAAACCCTAAACTCAAAACCCTAAACTCCAAACCCGAAGCCGGATTTTTGTTTACAGGTACCAATGTTGCGCAGACAGCTCCTCCGCCAAGTACCCGAAGAGCAGGACCCAGGGTTCCATTTTCGGGTCTGGGGATTTAGGGCTTAAGGTTCGGGTTTAGGGTTTAGGGCGTTAGGTTTGGGTTTAGGGTTTAGGGCTTAAGGTTTTGGGTTTAGGTTAGGGCTTAAGGTTTGGAGTTTAGGGTTTAGGGGCACGAAGTCCCCGAAAAGTAAGCTTTTCAAAGGCCGTTAAGGAGATGCTAATGATGCGGGGCGTCAGAGAGTTTAAGGGAGAGAGTAGGCTTTGCCTTTACGACTGCGAAACGCTTAGATCCGAAACCATGTGAACAGTGTCAACCCCTAAGCCCCCACACTACCGAGCTCCAACGGGGACGCATGCCTGGTGACCTGCAGAACCCATGCCCTAGATTCACTACCAAACCCTTCGAACTCTTAGGTACTTCTGTGGCTGCGTAAAAGCATAAAGGCCCAGACCCCCCATAAAAAATAGAAAAACAAACACAAAATCTTTGCACAGGCCTCAACCCTAGCTCCCGAACCGAGCAATTCAAAACCACATGGTCTGAACCAAGCTTGAGATTCCGGCGCGAGGCATCTCCTCGAACAAGCGCACCGCGAGCTCTTGCTGTCCACCCTTGCCGAGTGCGCTAATAGTGGCCTCGGGCCAATGGAGTGTCAGAGTTTCGGACTGACTCTGACTCCAGTATACACCTATAATACGTCAAGGAGCCCCATAACATGCGTGGTTTGGCGGTTTAGGTGGTTCAGGGATGCGTCTGCACATGCTCTATGGCCGGAGCATGACGAGACGACAGAGTAGAGTGCTTCCGAAACACCCAGAGCATCCTAGGTCGTAAGTAGCTGTCGCGGGTATACTTCCTGAAAAAGCAAAAGCAGCAGCCCCTTCGGTGGATACCCGTACTTAGGATCCTTTGGCACGTATCATCCTCACGTACTAGTAGAACCAGGCGACATTGTAGCTGATAATGCTCTGATCAAGACGGGCATTCTGCATGGACTCAAAGAAGTATAGTGCCAACTGCCACTTTCCGCCCTTCTCGCAGCAGCTGATGGTGGCGTTGTAGCCTGAGCAAGCGCCCAAGAGACTGCATGCATATAGGGCAATTATGGGTTACAGTTAGGGCTTCGGGGTATATTATACTTCCTTCTATGTGTAGGGGCCAGGATATGACCGCTAAGACTCTGCAGAGTCAATAGGGTTTAGGGTTTAGGGTTTGCCTAAACTCTAAACCCTAAACCGAAATAGCCTAAACCCTAAACCTTAAACAGGAAACGCAGCAAGGAGGCTGATCCCATTGGGCACCAGCTGGGAATCACGCCTTTCGACTGGGAACAGAAACTGGATTGTAGACTATTATAAAAGTAAAATATGGGTTGGAATAAACTATTAAGGTAAAATATAAACTATTAAAGCAACATTTACATTACTATAAAAAGTAAAATAGGAATTCTAGATTTTATAGACGTAATGTACACACCACCGAAATAGGGTACATGGAGCCCAAGCCTGCTACCCGACACTTTAGTTGAGGGTTTAGGTTTAGGTGTTAGGGTTTGGGCTTAGGCTTATAGGGCTTAGGTTTAGGGTTTAGGGTTTAGGGTTTAGGGTTTAGGGTTTAGGGTTTAGGGTTTAGGGTTTAGGGTTTAGGGTTTAGGGTTAGGGCTGAGGGCTCAGGGCTTAGGGTTTAGGGTTTAGTGGTTTCGTGTTAGGGTTAACACCTGATTAAGGAACCCCGAAAAATATAGGTAACCATGACGGCCACTATATTGGTTCAAAGGCGAGGATAGGTGGGCTTGAGAGTTTGGGATCGGGCCTGGAGGTTCGTGCTGTCTGCTTTGCTGATCAAGTTTCCAACTGCGAGTGTGACGTTGCAAGTCTGAGTTTTCGAAGTAGACATGCTTCGTTTTTCGGAAGGGTCGCCAAACTCACGAGTTTTGGTTCGCATGGAGTACATAAGAACAAGTATGTGGGCTCAACCAAGTTATGTTTCACATGCCCCTGGGTGAAAGGGGACGCATATTTGTGTCTTCGCCCAAATGATGTGTCGCCCGCCCGACGGCCATCGAAACATTGAACCCACGGCCCCTCTAAACCCTAAACCGTCACCCCGGAAGCCCCAGCTATACCCCACCGCTCCAGCGACTGAAAGTGGCAAGGTCTTTGGCGCACGTACCCTACGTTTCCAGGCTGACTTTTGGATCTTTTGCATCCTACAACACCGAAGCCCCACACAACAAACCCTAAAAAAGCACTACCCAAACCCTCACTCTGGGCTTTCCTACCACATTTTGAGCCTTTAATGATCATAACAGCCAGGTGGCATTGACTCGAAGGTGCTCAGCGCCAGCGGCCAGGCATTTCCTTTATGGATGGAGCTGAGGACAGCGTTGTAGCTGATGATGTCCTGGGCTCAAAGAGACGAACGGTGAGGGCTCCGCGTTTAGTATTTAGGCTTTAGGGTTTAGGTAACGGGTCCACGTACTCATTGTTTTAGGGCTTTGGGGCCTTTTATGAACCAAAAACCATAAATTACCATGGACTCTGAGGGGAACGGTTTGGGGCCTGTTGGGGTTTAAGGCTTTGGGTTTCTAGTGTAGTTTAAGCATTAGAGTTCAGGGCTCGGGAAATGGATGATAATATTCTGGGCTCTCAGAGAATACATGGGTTCAATAAGGGTTTAGGGTCTTGGGGTTTAAAGTTCAAAGTTTGGGGGTTTAGGGTTCAGGGTTTAGGATTAAGTTGTGGTAAAGAAAGGTGTCTCAGGAGGTTAGGGATTTGGGTTTCAGCGTTCAGCCTTTCAACGTAACAGTGTCCACTACCTTTCAAAAACGGAATCCGCTTAACTCGTGACAGGCATCTCTCTCGCACTCTCTCTCTCTCTCTGTTTCTCTCTTTATCTCTCTCTTTCTCCTCTTTATCTCTTTCTACATATATATATATATATATATCGGTAGAGAGTTGTATCATTAGTTAAGCGAAATGCCTCAATTTAATGTTAGCTCTCAGGTTCACGGTACCGCGGTTAACAGTCTAGGGGTCATAGGCTGTAATGACGGTATTCCGAATCCGCATGATGAGGTTTCGGGCCCAATTAGGTCTTCAGAGTTTGGGATTCAAGATTAGGGTGCTGTTGTGTATCCTGCCCTAGGCTCTTTCAAAGATCTCCGAAGCCCTGGACAGGAGAACGCCCTCCAAATTCTGAAGAGTTGAACGCAGGTTTGCTGCGATCGCGTTGGATGAGCTGTCACATGGATCTGGGTGGTGCCCTAAACCCTAAACCCTAAACCCTAAACCCCCCGGTGTAGTGTCAGTGTTTAGGGCTTCCTCTTCGGATGTTGCAGCTACTGGGAACCGCTCGTGCCGTGCACTGATGCCCGAAACACTAAAGTCTCAAGACTTCATTGTCCCAAAGAGGTATTGTTACCAGGGATACTTCCCCAAATGATGTTAGTAATTCATAGTATAGAAACTCCACGTTCTACTGTACAGGAGATACTTTGGACCCTGTATAACTCCCCAACTCTTGCAAGTAACTCCTGCTGTTGATGATATAAATCCCGCATTACCTGCAGGACCTGAACGACCCTAAACTAAGGGAATTATGATATATTCCTTATTATGGGTAATGCAGGATTTATATCATCAACTGTAGCACAGAAACCTGACGACTTCCTTGTGCACTTTGGCAACACAGGGAAGTCTGACGCGACAAGGGGGGATTCTCCATGACTTCCCGGCCCAAAAACCCCAAGTTTCAACCCTAAATCCGTAATCGTAGACCACTAAACCCTTAATCCCTGGGCCCTAAACCCCTAAGCCTACTCTCCTGAACCCTATAAACCCCTGAACCCGAAGAACCTAAATCAGCACACCCTCTGAGCCCGACCTAGGCCAGCGTTCCAAGCAGGAGACGTAACTGATAGTGTAGCGTACTTCTGCAAGCCATGCCCTTGTTTCATAGAAGCTGCAGAACCGGACCGGGGTTTATGCAATATAGTAAATTCCACAGGGTCTGTAGCAAGGCATTTCTACAAACGTTTTCAGCCTCTGTGTTACTACTGCCGCACGAGCCGCTGGCAGCAGCTTTGCCGAAGGCATGGAATCAAAAAGATACCAGGCCATCTGCCACTGACCGCCCTTCTCACAGGAGCTGATCCTGGGACTTAGGGTTTAGGGTTTAGGGTTTAGGGCTTGCTCTCAGGGTTTAGATTCAAGGACCCTAGACCCTAAGCCCTCACGCAAGGCGATCTGGCTTTGGGCATCGAACGCCGTTCGGGATTGTAGGGTTTAGGGTTACCCAAGCCCAAAACCCTAAACTCCTGACCTTGGTGCCAAGGATCATGGCAACCCTAAACCTTTAAAGCCCCTTAACCCTAAACCCTAAACCCAAACCCAAACTTGGTACCCAGGATCGTGGCGTTGTAGCTGATGACGTCCACATCGACCTGACTTTCCAGCATCGAGGAGAACAGTCCCAGCGCCAGATTCCACTGAGCGCCCTTCCTGACATGGTGTTAGGGGGCTTAGGGTACTATAGGGTGGGGCAGTCTCATCAACGGTCTCGAAGGGTTTCAGGGTTTAGGGTTTTAGCTTGCGGCTATGGAATCGAAGTATGGCTGTGCAGTGTGTATATGTATGCATGTGTTTAGATGCGTGTGTGTGTAAATCAATATATATATATATATATACATACATACATACATACATACATACATACATACATACGTGCATGCATGCATGCATGCATGCATGCATGCATGCATGCATGCACACACGTATACATACACTTACACAAAGATACACGCATATACATAAGTGTGTGTGTGTATGTATGCGAAAAATCTGTATTCATATATAACACATATATATATATAGAGAGAGAGAGAGAGAGAAGAGCGAGAGCCAGAGAGAGAGAGAGAGAGAGGGAGAGAGAGAGAGAGAGGACATTCCTCAGAGGGTAAATTACAAGAAGCTCCTGAACAAAAACCAAGCTTCTCCAAAGAGCTGATCGTGGCACTGTAGCTGATGATGTCGGGCTTCAGTTTGGCATGGGCCATGGAATCGAGCAGGTACAGAGAAAGTGGCCATTGACGCCCTTTCCTAGGATCCCCAGTAGCCTAGGAACAAAACGGGCTCTCCCTTTGGTATTGAGAAGCTAAAACTATAAGAGACCGAAGACCACACAAAATAGAAAAAGGTGTCAGTGGTAGACCTAGCTTCTCACACGACGTGATCGCGGCATTGAAGCTGATGGCATCAGGTAGTAGCTTGGCTGTCCGGAAAACATGGAGCAAGTGAACTGAAACCTGCCATAGCTCGCCCTTCGCACAGGCACTGATGGCTGCACTGTAAGTGATGACATCAGGTGCCAGCATATCTTTCGGCACGTCGTAGAAAAGCTTCAATGCAAGCTGCCATTGCCTGCCTTTGTCGCAGGAGTTGATGAGGGCATTGTAGCCTCAGTGCAGCAAAGAAAGAATTTCGCGATTACCACATTTTTTCTTCTCCAAACTGCACCCCAAGTGCGACAAGAGCTGATCGCAGCTCGGGCGCTTACTACACTTCTTGACACCATTGCCGTCGGCATGGAGCTGAAGATCTGCAGAGCTCTTTGCCACTGTCTCGCTCTTCCTGAGGGTTTTGGGGTGTAAGGGGTTTGGGGATGGGGTGCAGGATGCAGGTTCGGGCTTGGGCTTCAAGGCGGATTCAGGGAGCTTCGGTATAGATAATATAGGGGGATTGGTATAATTAGAATAGGGTTTTGGGGCAAATTATACTATCGTCAAAACAATAAGGAACCCCCAAAAGAGTATAGATGATTATTGATGCCCCCATATTAGACCGATCTGGGGCACGATTACACCTTGTGTTGACGGGCGCGTACCAAACATGCTTCTTCTGGTCCTTAACTGCGGCGACCTGATATGACTTCCTTACGTCCTTCTGAGTGTTCGCATGTTGCGTCGAGTTCTTGTCTGTCTAAGGCAGAAAGTCTAACGCCTAAAGGCTCAGGACACGTCGTATGTCTACCCAGTATGTTGCATGCCTGGCCCTACTTTAGCGGCCTCGCGTTACGTGCACGTAGTACGGGCCGGATACCGAACCATCTCAGAGAGCTCAATGCCCCTGGAGAGCATGCAGGGTTTGATATGTGTTATTTTAGGTCGAGTCCGGTGCATAGCGACGAGGTATCGGCATATCTCCTTCTTATCAAGACGCTTCAGGCTCGGCTGAAGATCCGACATAAAAAGATAGGATAGTACGGTCCTGCGTGCCGAAGTACTGCTGTAAGAAGGCTTCGACATGCTTAGACCCTAAACCCTGAATCCGCAAACACTAAGTACCTAAACCCTCAAACCCTAAACCCTAAAGCCCTAAATCCCTAAGCCCCAAATCCCTAAGCCCTAAATCCCTAAACCCGAAAGCCCTAAACCCTAAATCCCTAAACCCTAAACCCTAAATCCCTAAATCCCTAAACCCTAGATCCCTAAACCCTAGAGCCCTAAACCCTAAACCCCTAAACCCTAAATCCCTAAGCCCCAAATCCCTAAGCCCTAAATCCCTAAACCCGAAAGCCCTAAACCCTAAATCCCTAAACCCTAAACCCTAAATCCCTAAATCCCTAAACCCTAGATCCCTAAACCCTAGAGCTCTACACCCTAAACCCCTAAACCCTAAATCCCTAAATCCCTAAACCCTAGAGCCCTAAATCCCAAAACCCTTGATCCCTAAACCCTAAATCCCAATCTCCGAGGATCCAGAGCCGCTGATCCCGGTGTTGAAGTCCAAGACGTTCCTTTTTGCAGGGGATTTCATCCGGTGCTACAGGTTCCACAGGGACTCTTCGAAGGGTAAAGGGTTTAGGGTTTAGGGTTTTGTTTTTTGGGAGGTAAGGGACTATACATTAGGCCTTATTAGGTCCTTATTACGGCCAGTAGGGCCCCCTACCCCACCCCCCCCTCCCCGCTACCCCTTAAGGATCCGTGTGAACCAGGTTCTTTTACAAGTCCATATAAAGGTACCACATTCTAGGGTCTAGGTGTTACATCGATTTCAAGCGGACTACACTTATATGACTTAGTTACTAAGCCCTTTGTTGGGCCGTGCGGGCAAAGAAGACTTGCTGAGCTCCATGCGATACATTAGTGTCGCTGGCAGGGTGTTCTGAAGAAACGGCAGCATGGGCTTGTGCGATTGCTGCAAACCCTATCCACTGCTGGGACCCCAACACTAAGATTCCAGACCAAAAAACCCAAGCCCAAACATCCATGAACTCGAAACCTAGGCTTAGGGTTGCGATTTAGGCTTCATGCAAGATGCGGACGAGCAAGAAGCACCATGACTTGCGGATCCACGCAAAGTGGGCTTCCAGTCCCCCCCATCCCAAAACTTGCAAAACCCTAAACCCTCAATCAAAAGCACACAGAGCCTAGATCTCTTAAATGGCCCTTAAACTCCCTATAAACCCCAAACCCTAAACCTCAAAACCCTACCCCGCAAGTCTTAGGCCCCAGAGGCAGCTTCACCCGGCCATCTTCAGCAATGACCTGTCAGTAGGGAAGCCCTCATGATTCGTGTTGGGGTTGTGGGTTTGGGGACTTTGGGTTTTAGGGGTGTGTAGGGGTTTGGGGTTTGGGGGTTTAGGGGTGCAGGGGATTAGGATTTTGGGTTTGGGGGTTTAGGTGTTTAGGGGTCTATGCAAGAAGTCACTGTGGACGATCCGGGCGAGATGCGCGGCAGGATCCCTACTACAGGGTCAAGGATGTAGAGGTTTCGGGGTTTAGGGTGTAGGGGTTTAGGGGTTAGGTGTTTAGGATGTGGAGCTTTAGGCTTTTTGGCTTTGGGCGATTAGGGTCCAGGGTGTTCCTTCTTCTTGCGGGCTTGGAAACGATCTAAGGTAGAACCCATGGGCCCCTAGTATGGGCCCTTAACCCTGGGACCCTAATATACCTACTATATACCCTATATCTACCCTTAAGGGATCCTAGAATCCCCTAAGGGCCCATGTTAGGGGCCCATGGGTTCAACCTTAGAAACGAGCTGAACAAGGGTTCCACAGGGGCCTACAGGCCTACGCCTAAAGATTGATGCAGTGGCCAGTCAGGGACCTGGCGACACAGTTAGGTGGTTTAGGGTTTAGGGGTTTAGGGGTTTAGGTGGTTTAGGGTTTAGGGGTTTAGGGGTTTAGGGGTTTAGGGGTTTAGGGTTTAGGGCTTCGGGTTTGGGGGTTTAGGGTTTCGGGTTTAGGGGTTTTAGGGCGTAGCAATCATTTGAATATCGCTGCATAGTTGTCCACATCATCCCAGTACCATCTTTCGAGGTTGAAAGTCTTTGCGCAGGAGAACCCTAAACCCGTAAACACTAAGCAATGCTGGGTCGAGTGCACTGAAGACTCTGATCTTAATCAGAAAGCTCCAAAGGTGGGGAATCCGAGTAAGCAGTCTGAATATAAAGTAGGAGCCAGAAAGTTGGAAACGCAATAGCGGCCCAGCACTAATTGTCCTCAATCTGGCTTCCAACTGTTTAGGTGTTTATTATAAGGAATCCGAAAGCCTACCTAGACCCTGCAAAGTCCTCAATGCCTGTTTGGGAGGACCCATGGAACTTGTAACTTGAAAGTTGAACAAAGGTAACCAAGAAAAAGGTTCCAAATTTCAGGGTCTAGGTATCTGCCTTTGTCCCTAAACCCTAAGCCTTTGCCCCACCTTTTTTTCGACACCGCAACAGAGATCCGCGATGCAAGGGGCAGAACAGGAATAAGACCCAATAAAACCTGGATAATGAGACTATTCGAGCTTATCGGGTTTAGGGTAGTTTAGGGTGATTCTAGTAGAGTCTATCCAACAAGCTTGTTGCTCCAATTATTGAGGTTGTGATACTAATTTCGGCTTATCTCGGTCTGGTACTTCAGAAAGGGCTATATGAGCCTGTCGGGTCCTTCAGAAAAGACGCAGCAGACCCCTGACAGGAACCCCAGTGCATCCTGCCCCTGCACCCCAAACTCAACCTAAACCCTAAACCCTCGACCCCAAACCCCAAATCCACAACTGTCATCCGGTTTAGGGTTTAGGGTTTAGGGTCTAGGGTTTAGGGGTCATAAACCCCTAAACGCCTAAGCCTAAACCCTAAACCCCTTAACCCCTGCACCCCCGACTCTCTCTCCGGCGGCCTCAAAGACGTCGCAGATCAAGTCGGCACGCTTCTGGTCTTTCAGTCGTCCTCGGGTGCTGGGCTGCAGGGGTTCAAGGCTCGGGGTTCAGGGTGTAGGGTTTAGGGTTCAGGGTGTCGGGGTCTAGGGTTTAGGGTGTCGGGGGTATAATCACTATATGTAAGCCCATTGGACCCAGCCTGAAATCTTCTTGTGTTGACACCCCCTCGGGCTTGTATCAACAAGTAAATACGATAAGAGATAATTCCTCAGGAGCACCTGCAACAAATTGAGCTTGGCGCTGCGGGCGTTTTGGAGTTTCACCCCAAAACCAAAACCCTATTCTAGTTCCAGTAGTTAAGGTCTCTATAGTAACACTTCTGCCATTAGGAGCATTGGGAGATGCCTGGGAGGCACTCTCTCAAGGGCACAGAGCTGCTGGTACTACTACTACTACTACTACTACTACTACTACTACGAACGAGGCTTGAACAACCTAAAGCCTACAACTCTGTAAACGCCAAACCGCTATAGCAACTGATATAGGAGCGCTTTCAAGAACCACTGAACCCATAAACCCTCAACCCTGAACCCCAAATCCCAAACCCTCAACCCTGAACCCCAAACCCTAAACCCCTAAACCCCTAAACCCTAAACCCTAAACCCTAAATCCCTAAAGCCCTGAACCCCTAAACCCTAAAACCTAGAACCCTAAACCCCAAAAACCCAAAACCGTCAAAGCCCAGCTTCGGAAGACTTGTGCCAAGACCTTGGGCTCCCTCTTCCAGTCGTCCAGCTGCGGAGCCAGGAGCCCCTCCTGAAATTCGCTCTTGCTTTTGTAGTAGTAGTCGTCGTCGTCATCGTAGTACTGGTAGTAATCGTAAGTAGTAGTTGTAGTAGTAGTAGTAGTAGTAGTCGTCGTCGTCGTCGTCGTCGTCGTCGTAGTGGTAGTAGTAGTAGTAGTAGTAGTAGTAGTACGTAGTACGTAGTACGTAGTACGTAGTACGTAGTACGTAGTGGTACATGGTGGTAGTAATTATAGGTGGTAGCAGTAGTACTTGATCAGGGGCTGTTGTGGTGGAAGTTGTTGTGGTGCTGCCGTTCTTGTTCTTGCTCTTGTAGCTTTTTGTGTTTTTTGCGTGGGTGTGTGTTTTGTGCGGGTGGTTGGCGGGTTTCAGGGTTTCAGGCCAAGGGCTCCGGGGATAAAACCATGGAATACACAGCCTTTGCAGGCATGGCTCTGTTTTGTCAGCAACCGTCAGAATTCAGAAGGCCTTCCGCTTCTTTTTCTACAGAAAAGCATCCAAAAAAGATCCCCTAAAATGCGTTTGGAGGGCGGCTTTCATATTTAGGGTTCTGGATGTAAGGGTGCCGTAAACCCAGCTGCGAGAATCCTCAACCCCGCACCCTAAGACTCCCGAAGCCAGGAGCCTCAACTTTGAGTTGAAGCCTTAACCTGTCATGTGTGTGCACATATACATATATATATATATATACATATAGGTATATACGTATCTATACACACACACATACATATATATATATATATACCTGTGGCCGTGAA